GCGTGAGTGTCCCCACGCAGCCGCCTTCCACGGCATTGTGGTCACAGCTGTAGTGTCCCCACACAGCCGCCCTCCATGGCATGGCGGTCACAGCTGTAGTGTCCCCATGCAGCCACCCTCCACAGCATGGCGGTCACAGCTGTAGCGGGAATCGCTTTTCTTGCAGCTCTTCGTGTGGAAGGCAGGTCATCACTAACCTCTGGAATCGGTGTTGGCCAAGGACACCCTGGAAGGGAGTCCGGCTTGCCACCTTGGCAGTCCTGCACACCCAGAGCTCGCAGCTCCCGTCCCGTGGTGCGGAGTTGGGGACTGAGCCCTCCCATGTGCCCTTGAGGTGCCAGTGCAGCAGGCCGGGGCAGCCATGCTGTGAGGTGCTGCATGGCTGAGCGGGAGAGCAGGGTGGGCACTGGGTGACCAGCCTACCTGCAGGCAGTGGGAGAGTGGGCTCATGGAAATTCTGGAGAAACTGTCCAGAATCCGAGGTCCAGAGGCTGTGTAGGGACCAGCTAAACCTGGACCTCCTGTGTCTGCCATGTCGACACACGTCCACGGTACACGAAGCCGAAGCCTCCCACGTAGCTGGGATATATCCCGTGGGCTCAGTGTCTAAACTCAGCTTCGGCCTAGAGCAGGCTTCTTTCTGTTTGTAATGGGTTCCATGAGTGGAGTCTCCAGGCCTAACAACCTTAAGATATTCCATCCCCATATGCAGTTTCATAGGGAAAAACTACATGCTGATTTCGGGCTTAAAGTTTCCCTGCCTAATGCCCATGGAGGTGTAAAACGACAACCAAAACCTAACGTGGCCTCCACGGTTCAGGATCGGTTAGCACCAGTCCAAATGTGAACGTCTCCTTAGCAAGAAGTGAACACCAGCCCTGCACTGATATGGATGTTGACATCGATTTTATCGATAATTATCACTGTGTAAAGTTATGGTATTTGTAGGTATTCGTTAGGACCACATATTGAGGGAGAGAAATTAACTGAAGAAGAAGAAAAAGTACTCCATTTTCCAGAAAGAGACACATTGGTTCCCAGTAGGTTCACCTGACAGTCGGCCGTCAGAGCAGGTGGGCCATGCCGGGCCGTGTGTCTGTGACCCACCCCTACCCCTCATCATGTCGGGCAGCAGCGCCCAAGCTCAGGCTTCATCCCGGGACGCCTCCCCACCAGCGAGCACCAGGCTCCAGTATCTGGTGAGTCTCCCCACCACTCCTGCCATCATGACCACACTTAACACCTTGTGCTCTGTGTTCCCATCCCTTCTTTTTTTGGCCAAAGTATCCTGACACCCTGTCCCTGCTCGCTCCATCCATGGGTCCCCACAGTCTTTCCCCTCAAGCTTCCTTCCCCTACCAACCTGGCCAGTGCCACACGGAGCTCCCGGAAGGACGGCCACCTTGCCCTAGCATGTCTCTGAGTCCCAGGAGCCTGGTGCAGTACATGCCGGCGCTGGCCGGGGAAGTCGGTCCTGTCCCTGCAGTAGAAAAGCGCCTCGAAATGTGGCTGTTGGGGTGGACAGAGTGGACCTCACGCTGTGTTTACAGCCCGTGTGAAAAACAAGGGGAACTGTCCACCCGTGACTGCCTCGGGACTAGCTTACGTGTTTTTTAAGAGTTTTTTGCTTTAGGGTGCATGTGCTCACTGGAGAGAGAGAGACAGTGAAAGGGAAGGTGAAAGGAAGGCCATCCCCGGGGGATGGCCACACTGCAATCCCTCTCCATCCTCCTCCCGAGATCTTGGGCATGCACGCACGCACACACACCTGGCGTGATTTTCAAACCACCCATTAGGGACTCAAACTGTGGTTGGCCATGCGGAAGTCCACAGGCGTAACCAGCAGTGGCTCAGAACCAGCTTAGACTTTAAGAAGCGGTCAGAGGCGGCCATTACAGGACGCAGCCCGACAGGTTCACCAAGAGCAGCTGCAATTCTCAGCCATGCAGTTTTTGGCATCACTTCGGTCCATGATTTATGCTACAATAAAATTTGGATTTATGCAAAATAGATAGAAAAGAGCACACTTAACTCTCTGTGCCTCAGACTGTCCCCTTGGGCAGTTCGGTGAAGCTAGAATGCCTCAGAAGTGTGTCATTCAAAAAACCTGGGATCGCAAGCACCAGCCCTTCCCTGGACATGCCACGAGTGTTTAACAGTGTAGGTGGCGATCCGCCTGCTCCAGCGGGACGTCCCACCCACCGGAAGCCCTAACTACTGATGAGCAGCTGGATAGCTGCAAAAGCACTGGCGGGTATAAAAATGCGATCTCTGTTGCTGACAAAGACTGGACCTTCTAACAGAGATGCTTCGCCTACCAGCATTCTTGAAAGGAATGCTAATATTCACTTAGAGGTTAATGTAAATAAAGACATAATTTTCCCCTTTAAAAAAAAAAAAAAGACACTCATCCTAAAGAAACCTAAGAAAACTGAAGTCACCTATATTTGCTATACACATTGTTTTGAAATTGCTTATATTAGTATTTTCTGCTCCCGGCCAGCAGGGACGGTCTATAAAGCTTTGCTTCTCTGCCTACTGGAGGAGAAGGAAAACTTGAAGAGATTAAGTGGCTGTGTCTATGGCTTTTTAAATATTTCAAGCCATTTTTCTTATTTTTTCATTTCAACTGCTTTACCTTTTTTTTTTTTTTAAGTTTATTTATGTTTATGAAAGAGAGAGAGAGAGAGCAGTGAGGACCCCCAACAGGGTATTCAAGCTCCACCCACAGTCTCAGCCACAGTCCGCCACGGCAGGCCCGTGTGTGTGGGAGGGCCCAGGATCTGAACCCAGGGCCTTTCTTGTGTAACCACCATGCCTCCACCTAGCCACTGGTTTACTGTTTTTCAGATTTGCCAGAGGCTATGTGTGTGCTCACCAGAGAGAGAGAGAGAGAAGGGAGAAAGCACCCCTCACGAGGCACGGCCGCACCACAGTCCCTTGTCCATCTCTCCTTTCAAGGCTTCGGGTACACACACATCCCTCTGGTGTGTTTTTCAAGTTGTCGGGTCCCAGACTCGAACCACACAGTCAGCCATGTAAGATCCAGCTGCCTTAACCACCAGGCTATGGGCTGGTCCATCTGTGGTTTACTTTAAAAAAAAAAAAGAAAGAAAGAAAAGAGCTTAGTGGACTTGTGACATCTACACCACAACTTACGTGCAGCTCATTTCTAAGGAGGGAGCAGTGCATGACTCCGTGAGGTGCCCGTGACTTGGTGAGGCCACCGGTCACTCGCCTGGTGACTGCCGGCACCGGGGCTGCTTCCCCTCTCCACCCCTCACTGCAGTGGCCTTACCGTTCTCCAGGGAGCCCTGCATCTTGGAAACGCTCTTGTATTCAGAACCGAGACAAACAGTGCGGCCTGCGGGCAGCGCTCGCTCAACACTTCCACCCTGGGGCCCAGGAAAGAGCGGGTTCTCCCCGAGTCACGCGCCATGGTCCTTGCTGCCTGATGACCCTCCTTGAAATGAAGAGTGAGTATTTCACAAAGCTCTTTGGGAAAGAAAATTGAGGGAGAGAAAATTGCCTGACTACATCAAAGCATGCAGCCATATTTTAAGCAGAATTTTGAAATATGTCCCAATGCATGTCAGACAGAAGACGGAGTTGTTGAAATCTGCAGTTTAGCAAGCCTGGCGGGGACGATCTCAGCGTGAGACCCTGTCAGACGTGCATCTCCTCTCTCTCTGCCTCTCGTGAAATTAAAAACAAACAAGAGCCCCACGCAGTTTCTCTTGCAGCTAAATATGAGTGTGTGACCAGCGACCACCACGAGGACCTCCGATGGGGAGGGCAGCGACTTGCAGGAGGCGAGGGCAGGGCAGGAGTATCGGCTAGG